GGAGCAACAAGGAGCATCACCTGGAGGTGCATGGTGAGCTGAGGAGCCCCAAAGACACAGGGGACCTGTGGAGGTCCCTGAAGTTGCTGTGATCTCTCTCAATGCAAGGTCCAGCTGGACCCAAAACTCACAGTCATTGCCTGCTGCCTTGGGTGTCTGAGAAAGGATGCTGGGCTAGCTTTGCTCCTCCAGCTTTCCTCTTGGCTCTGAGCTGATTTTCACTCCAGCAGCCCAACTGCACTGGTTGCACTTGCTCGTATTTGCTTTGCCTACTTGTTGCTGCTGTCCAGATCGATGGTGTATGTATATCCACTGCCATATGGCCAAGGGGGTTACTACAGCACCACATCCACTCTGTGACCTCTTTGCCCACAGCACTGCCGAGGATCCAGAGCAGCAGCAAAGCCCCAAGGAAGGTTTCTGTTGTCAAGGCTGGCGAGACAGTTCTGGAGTGCGAGGCCATGGGGACGCCACCGCCCATGGTGACATGGGTGAAGGATGGGCAGCCTGTGGCTGGCGAGGATGGGCTCCTGCTTATGGAGCAGGGCAGGCGGCTGCGCATTCCCAAGGCTGAAGTGGCCCATGCAGGACGCTACGCTTGCCTGGTGGCAAATGCAGCAGGGCAGGAGCGAAGAGAGTTTGACCTTGCGGTTCATGGTAGGGGTGTGGGACAGGGTTGGTGGCTGGGGGGGTATGGATGCGGGCAAGCTCAGGAGGGTGGTGGTGTCGCACAGCACAAGTATGGAGAGCGTAAGACCACATGGAGGTCTTGGACCACCCAGCACATTAAAGACCTTGGGTCAGAAGTGGGATGCTCCAGGCATATTGGCTCCACCAGGCAGGAGTTTCTTTCCAGGGTCATCAGAGCAGACCATCTCACACTTCATCAAGTCACCTACTTTCCAAGGACTTGAGAAAACCTCATGGGTCAAGGTACTAAGCACTTGAGCTAGAAAAGGCGTGAGGTGGCTTAGAGTGTGTGGCCAGCTTGGTGTCACACCTGTAAGCATGGGCTTGGGGGTGCAGTTAGGTAGCGCATACTTTCTGTAGGTCACCTGTCCCATGACAGCTTCAAAGTTGACAACTTCAGATGATGCTTATGGTCCTTCTGGGCTCGTGTCCTCAAGCTGTACAGGCAGGAGGATGGGAACGAGCTGGGTTTACTCAGTTTACCTTGCTCCTCTGCTGTCTTGGTGACTGCTTAGCAAATGAGTATCTGTCCTTTTCTGTGTCCCCAGTTCCTCCTGAATTTATTCAAGCATCAGGATCAACTACCAATGTCAGCATCTCTCTGCATGGAGCCCTGACACTGACCTGCGAGGCCACCGGCATTCCCCTGCCCAAAGTCACCTGGTTCTGGCATGGTTCTCCCATCACCCCCAGTGAGCACACACATGTGCTTTCAGGTCAGGAATGAGGCATGGACTCTGTGAGAGGTGGGAGCTTTGGGAACACGTTTTGCCCCAACACTTATGGGTGTAAATGTGGCAGAGCTCAGGAGCACCGCTGGGATGGGCTGGTGCCTGGATCAGGACCCTGAGACCTCTCTGCTCCATCCTTACAGGGGGCTGGGTGCTGAGGCTCCCCCGTGCACAAGCCCAGGATGGTGGCCACTATTCCTGCCTGGCCAGCAATGTAGCTGGGGAGGCCAGGAGGCATTTCCACGTGGAGGTCCTAGGTAAGGAGGGGTTGTCCTTCTGCTGCAGGACTCCTGGTGGGATTTCATAGCTTCATCCTTGCAGGGAGAGTCATGAGTTAAGACTGGGCATGGTGGGAGCTGCAGTGCTGAGTCCTTCATGCCTTGGCATGTGGGCTTGGAGGCTCGGCATAGCTGGCCAGCTGCTGAGGTCCTTGGTGGCTTGTGTCCCTAGTTCCTCCCCACATCGAGAACGCTGATGAAGAAGAGACCATCAAAGTGCCCGAGGGTCACCCTGCCACCATGTCCTGCCTGGCTGCAGGTGAGCATCACACGGGGAGCAGAGGAGGCGTGAGCAGGTGGGAGATGGGGCTTAGAGACCCGAGCCTCCCTTTGGGGTGTGGCGCAAACGGACAGCACCAGTTGATGACATGACAATAGCTGAAATTGGCTGAAGAGGTTTTTTGGGATAGTTTCTGGCTTTGCAGTTGGGCTGTTCAGGAAATGCCGGGCCCACGCGAGGAGCTTGTTCCACGACGTAAGTGCTAATCTTTCCCAAATGGAGCTAAAACTCCTCTAATCTGGTTTCTTTTTTAGTGATGGGAATAATTAATCACCTCCTACTCAGGACAGTTTTCTTTTTTCTTGCTGGCTTATCCAGCAGCCTGTAAAAGCCTGATCCAGATCGTGATAACTTTGGATTTGGACTGATGTCCCTGCTTCCCAGAAAAGCTCAGTCACGGTGACCCCAGCTGGGCTGTGCACACACATGGAAAAACTTTACACGATGGCCAAAAAAATCTGTTTTCCACCCCATGCAGGCAACCCCCAGCCCAAGATCGCCTGGCTGAAAAATGGACACCCTCTGCCCAATGAAGACACCTTCTCCACCTCCCTTGATGGCTCCATGCTCCACATTCCCCGAGCATCCCTCTCTGATGCTGGTCGCTATTCCTGTGTGGTGTCCAGCTCTGTGGGGAGTCAAACCAAGCACTACCTGCTAGATGTTTCAGGTATGAGAAGCAGAATCTCAGGACCAAGAGAGCTTTTTAATTGCCTGCCCCAAGTAGGTGGTGAGGAACCCTTAACCCTACAGCCAGCAGCATAGCATCATGTCCTGGACCTGCCAGAAAGCCCTCAGGAGACCTCTTGAAGGAACTTAAAGGGCCCATCTAGTGCAGGATCCATCTCTGATGGTGGCTGATGGGAAGGGCAAGCATGTCTTTCTGTGTCCTCTGTGTTTTTGGAGGGCAGTAACACAAGGCAGAGTCTGAAGCTGGGCTTGTGCTGTGCATTTCACTTGCTGTGGTCAAATCCAGTGCCCTGAACATAGATCATGCTATGTGGTGGGGAAATCAAGCATCGGAGAGCCTAAGTGGATGCTAATGATGATGCCATGCAAACACATCTCTGCAGCCAGTCCTGCCTTTGCTGGAGATGCCCACGATGCCACCACTGAGGAAGTAACAGTGATCATCAACAACCCCATCTCCCTGGTCTGTGAGGCTCTGGCCTATCCATCTCCCAACATCACCTGGCTCAAGGACGAGGTTCCCCTCAAGATGTCTAGAAACATCCACCTATTCCCTGGTACCATGCTAATGTCTGCTGTCTGCATGACTGTTGTGGCCTCTTGCTCCATGCTGGGGGGAGTGGGAGTGAGGCCTTTTCTGGGCCTGACTGTGATTCAGGGCAGTGGGATGGTGAAAAGTCATGGTCCTGCAGAAGCTTAGGGGCTCAGGCCATCAGGCAGATGCTGCTCTTCCATGTTCTGCATCCCCTGGTTACAGCTAAAGCCTCCTTGGCAGCATCAGTGAGACAGGGCTGGTTTTCATAAGCCTGGAAGCTGGGCTCTAGAAGAGTTTGCAGGTGATCAACAGGCCCTTTAAGGTGCCTTCTTGTGCTGCATGGGGGTAGACACCCATGGCTGAGAGTAGCAACCCTCTGAGGAGACCCCTTTTGCCCAGGTGGCCATGGTCTGCAGATCCTGAATGCCCAGGAAGAGGACACGGGCACGTACAGCTGCATTGTGGCTAATGAAGATGGGGAGGCCATGAAGAGCTACTCTGTGAAGGTCCTGGGTGCGGGACTTCTCTATGTCCTTCCTAATTCCTGCAGTGACACCGCCACTGTAACTGCGCCAGTGTCCCTTCCTTTCCTTCTCGTGCCTTTACCCTGGGGATCTGCACCTCTTGCTCCTGTCGCTGATTATGACAGAGCAAGAGCTTTGGGGGCTCTTGTCTCATCCCAGCTGTGTCATATCTCCACCCTAGTCCCTCCTTGGATTGCCAGAGATGACTCTTCGGAGGAATTTGCCATGAAAGAGGTAAAAGCCAGGGTCAACAGCACCGTGACCCTGGAGTGCGAGACCTGGGCTGTGCCCAAGCCAACCATCCAGTGGTACAAGGATGAGCAGGTAAGGCCCTAACTACAACCAGGGAGGAGCTGCTGGTTTTGGGAAGTGGGAAGATACCCTTTACATGGCTGTCTTGGCCCCATCCCAGTCCTGGGTGTGTGATCCTCCTGCTGTCCTGTTTCTTCCCTGCCTTGGGGCTGGGGTCCTTGTGCAGCTCCTGGAAAGCACTGGCCACCTCCAGATTCTCCACAAGGGACAGGTCCTTCAGATCAAACCAGCTGGTGTCTCAGATTCGGGGCACTACACCTGTGTGGCCACCAACGACGTGGGTGAAGATGACAGGGACTTCATTGTGCATGTCCAAGGTGAGCCCTGGGTGTCTGGAGCAGTGGGTGTCTCAGCAAGAGGAGGGATCTTTGGTGGGGGCCCTTGTGGGACCAGAGCAAGGCTGAGCAGGGAGAGGGTTTTTATCTGCTGGAAAGCAATCATTGCCTTGGCCTTGGTCAGGCCTGGGCAGATGCTCTGGTTGCACCCAGGGGTGTGAGTCCCCCTTCTCCACAGCTGATTGCAGCCTGTCCCCGCAGTGCCACCCCTCTTCCAGCAGCAGACCAGCTCCAATGAAGCCCTTGAGATCTTCTACCAGGAAGAAGATGAGGATGGGGAGGTGACAGAGTACCGCCAGGCTGTCCTTGACCAGCCCACCTCACTCTACTGTGACACCAACGCCATCCCACCCCCCCGGCTCACCTGGTACAAGGATGGGGAGCCCCTCTCCCCTGGCCCAGGAGTGCTAATGCTGCTAGGTAATGGGCATGGACCCCTGGTGTGGGGTTTGGGGGGTCCTACAGCAGTTCTGTGGGTTGAGAGCATCCATAATGTGGGGGGGTGGATCCTGTCCCCTTCCCCCTGCCAGCACATGCAGCACCCATGGGACCTGCAGGAGCAAGACGATGTCACTGGGGCTATGGGGTTCAAGTGGGAGGTTGGAGGGGACCCTGTGGAGATGTTCCCTGCCCCAAACGTGCCCTGCACTGCAGGGGGCCGGATGCTGCGGCTGCGGGCGGTGCGGGAGGAGGACGCAGGCAGGTACACCTGCGAGGCAGCCAATGCGGCGGGACAAGACCGCCTGCACTACGAGCTGGAAGTGCTGGGTGAGTGCGGGGCTGGGGAGGGTGGTAGATGGAGGTGGGTGGCAGCCCCCTAACCCCCTGCTTGCAGCCGCCCCAGCCATCCATGGTGACACGGAGGACTTGGATGAGGAGGTGATGGCCACCATCAATGGTACCATTCGCTTTGAGTGTGAAGCCACCGGACACCCGGTGCCTGCAGTGTCCTGGCTCTGGAACGATGTCCCTATTGTGGTTGGCCCACGGCATCAGCTCCTGGAGGGCGGCACGGTCCTGCAGGTTGGCACTGCCCTGGGCAGGGTGGCTGTGCTGGGGGGGACATAGGAATCACTGCATGGAGGGGACGGGTCACCCTTCTCTCCTCCTCTCCATGGTCTTGCCAGGCACTGAGGTCCCTGTGAGAGCTCCAGCAGTTCCCTGGCTCAGGGCAGCCCTCAGTGGAGCTCTGGTCTCCCTTTGCAGGTGACCTCAGTGGAGGCAGATGACACTGGCAGCTACACCTGCGTGGCTGAAAACCCAGCTGGGTCAGCCGAGAAACACTTTGTCCTCACTGTGCAGGGTAAGGGATCCCCAGAAACCCTTCCCCAAGTCACTGATTTACCTCCTTCCTCCTCCTCCCCCACTCCAGATGAAGTCCACCAGGGCTCCTGAACCCCGAGGCTGCCTCTGTCCCCCCGTGCCTGTCACATTCACCCCATGCGAGGAGGTTGAGGTGCTGGCACAGTCTGAGCCGGCGAGACGCTCCTGTGTGTTTCCTTCGGGGGACAGCACTGCCTCCATGGTGACTGTTCCCCTTTGGCACTGTCTTTTGGTGCGTGCTGGAGCAGAACCACCCCGGATCATGGGTGCAAACCCTGAAAGCATTGATGGTATCACCAATGGCAGCGTCTCGCTGGTGTGTGATGTTCAGTCCCACCCCACTGCAGAGATCTCCTGGTACAAGGATGGCCGTGTCCTGCAGCCCAGCGAGGAGGTGACTGTCACCCCAGGTATGGCTTGGGCCAGCTTGACAGTGTGGTGGCCTGGACCTGCTCCTGCTCTAACCTGCCCTGACTCCCTGTTCTCCACGTTTTCCAGGCTCGGGGGTGCTGCAAATCCCTCACCTCCAGCTCTCCAGCTCGGGGATTTACACGTGCGTGGCGCTGAATGCAGCTGGCCGGGACGAGAAGAGCTTCATCCTCAGTGTCCATGGTGTGCAGTGAGGGCTCTGCCCCAAGGAGCCAACAGCAAACACTACTCTCATGTTCCTGCCCACACACCCCATCCTGCTTCTCCTCCCCAGACATCCAGGACCTGCAGCAGGAGACACTCGACGCCGACGTGGGGACCCCTCTTGTCCTGACCTGCCATGTCACCGGTGTGCCCGCACCCTCTGTCATCTGGCTGAAGGATGGGAGCCCTCTGGGTATGTGTGCAGGGGGATGCTGTGCTGGGCTGTCATCCTGAGCTTCACTGCTGCCCCTCTGAAGCAGTTCTGCCTCAGCTTCCCCATTTCTAACCCTGCTGCAAGAGAACTGCAGGGCCCCACAGGAGGGGAGGCAGAGGGGCTGGTGTTTTCCTGACGCATTTTCAAGAGGCCTCAGATTCATTCTTGAGGATGGAGTGCTGACATGTGGGGATGGGATGTGGGGGTGAGCTCCCTGGGCACCAGCCCTCGGGGTTCCTACTGGGATGGGGATTTGCCTCCCAAACTAGTGGTTTTCTCCTGCAAAGCTCTAGAAAAGCATGGTCCAAACATTCTGCTCCACAGAATCACAGCCTTCTCTTTAACCAAGTCCCCAGACCTGGGTGCCAGGGGTGGGAAGGGGGAAGTGTGACAACATGCCTGGAGAGGGCTTTTCACTCCATCTCCTCACAGAAAGCAGCCCAGAACAGGGCCTGGTGTTTGGGGGAGGACAGCTCCAGCTCAGCCCCCTGCAGCCCCTCCACCAGGGCCGATACACCTGCCTGGTGCGGGGCCTGCCCACCACAACACGCAGGGACTTCATAGTGCTGGTGCGAGGTAGGACTTCCCCAGGGCTATGGGAGTCCCTGCGAGCTCTTCCTCACCCTCCTCTTCGTCAGCCTCCTTCTCTTCCCAATGCAGTGGCACCCCGGATCACCAGTGCAGGCATTCCCAGCGAGCACAGTGTGCTGGAGGGCAGGGGCGTGAGGCTGGAGTGTGAGGCGGAGGGGCAGCCCACCCCTCACATCTCCTGGCTGAAGGACGGGCAGCCCCTCAGGCTGCAGCCCCCTTCACGCGCCCGGTGAGTCTTGGGGTGAGGGGACACCAATCCATGGACAAGCAAAGGCACAGCCCTGTTCGTGCCTCGGTTTCCCCATATGCAAACTGTTTGCTGAGAGATGTCATCCTGGGTGCATCTCTACCCCATGGGCACATCAGGGATGGACACACGGGTCACTGTCCCACTGTCCCCACACAGGATGTCCCCGGATGGCAGCTCCCTGCTCCTGGAGGGGCTCCAAACCGCTGATGCTGGGGCATACACCTGCCTGGCCCAAAACAGCGTGGGTGAAGATGCACGGCTGCACACTCTGAACGTGCTGGGTGAGCAGGGCTGGGACCCGTGGGGAAGCACCAGGGCCACCTGCCCCCCACAGACTTTCATCCCCTCTGTCCCCTCACCCAGTCCCCCCCGCCATCGAGAGAAGTGCTGATGACTCAGATGTGGTCCGTGGAGTCCTGTCCTCAGTGGTGACGCTGGAGTGCCAGGCACGGGGGTCCCCTCCACTGCATGTGAGCTGGCTGAAGGACGGGCTGCCCCTGCGCCTGTCCCCCCGCGTCACCCTGCTCTCGTCGGGGCACGTTCTCCGGTAAGAAGTGACCCTGGAGTCATGTTTGGCCGCAGGTCCTGGGGCTTGGTACCCAGGTTTGTGTGTCGGGATGGCCACAGCTGCACCCTGGGGTGGCTGTGTGTCAGTGTGGAGACCTTGGGGGACTGGGGAGGACCCAGAGGTGACATCTCCTCTCCATGCCTGTCCCCTGCTCCATGGGATAGGATCTTCCAGGCACAGGTCTCTGACGCTGGGCTCTACACCTGCATCGCCTCCAGCCGGGCAGGGGTGGCCGATCGCAGCTTCGTCCTGCAGATACGGGGTATGGGGCAGCAAGGGGTTGGGGACAGCAGAGCAGGGGGCACCTGGGCACCCCAATTTTGCTGGCAGAGCCTATATTGTGCTCTACAGCCCTGTTTCAAAGCAGGGTCCTAAGCCGTCCCTTGGCTGCTAGGGTGGGCTTGGAGAAGATGGAGGGAGGCAGGACCAGCCTGAAAGCAGTCCTAGAGCACCCTGCAGGGAGGCTGAGTCATGCCTGGGTGCTCACAGGACATCAGGGAGCTGCCAAACCTGTCCCCACTGCCTGGGGACCCAGCTTTGCTCCCACAGCCCTCCTAAAGGGAACCCTTCCCTTCACAGTGCCCCCTGTCCTGGAGAGCCCTGAGAGCAGCGAGGAGCAGATGGTGGCTGAGGGCTCCAATGTGACTTTTACCTGCGAAGCCACTGGGTCCCCAACACCGGAGGTGACCTGGCTGAAGGACGGCAAGCCCCTGGCACGGCAGGGCAACTGGGTGCCTGGTAGCCCGCGGCTAAACCTGGTGGCCGTGGGGCCGGACAATGCGGGGGTGTACTCCTGCCTGGCAGCAAACGAGGTGGGGGAGGCCAGCAAAGCCTTCCACCTTCTGGTGATGGGTGTGTGTCTGATCCTCTTGGGGTTTGGAAGGGGCAGCTTAGCCAATTTTTTGGAAGCAGCCAGGGGATGAGCCCACACACCTCACTGCATGCCTTGCAGAGCCACCCCGCATCGAGGATGCGTCCCATCCCACTGAGATGTCCATCGCCGTGGGCACCCCGTTAGAGCTGATGTGTGTGGTGACGGGTGTCCCTGTCCCCTCTGTCACCTGGGAGAAGGATGGACGGCTCCTGGCAGGGCCCTGGCTCCTGTTGGGGAATGAGAGCACCCTCCACATCGAGAACACTAAGGTAGGGGCTCTTCTTTCTTTTCTACATCTCCATTTTATTTTCATGCCTCAATTTTTCCCTCTCCTGGCTCTCTGTAGGTGGCCGACGCTGGCTTGTACACCTGCCTGGCTGCTAGCGGGAGGACAGCAGGAGCTTCCACGTCAGCATCCAAGGTAGTGTGACCCCAGCAGTGCAGTGAGGAGGGGACTTGGGGGTCGTCAGAGATCTGGGGGAGCAGAGAACCAGAGCATCCCCCGCATCCCTCTTTGGGATCACTGGAGGGGGTGGATGGGGAGAGCAGTGGGGGCTGTAAGACCCCAAAACAGACTCTGAAGCACAGTGTGACAGTTCTGAAGACTGGAGGGCTATGCATTGCTTATGGGGACATGTTTTGGGGGTGCCCAACCTGCATGGCACCCCCTGACCCACCTGGCATACATCCCACAGCACCTCTCAGCATCACCAGCATTGGAGAGACTCCCAGCATCACCACTGTGGCAGGGGGGCAGCTCATCTTGGAGTGCCCCAAGGATGCTGTGCCAGCCCCCCACATCGAGTGGCTCTGGGAAGGCTCCCCACTGCAGGTACATGTGATGGGACCCAGGGCAGGGGCTGGGGTGCACCTCCACCGGCCTCCTTAGTCTTGTGGTAGGAGGCAATGTGGGGAGAGTCACTGATAGGGGATCCTGGGGGCGTTAGGAGGATGCCCGCAGGCAGGTCCTGGCCGAGGGGCGCTTCCTGCAGATCCAGGCCGTGGGGGCAGCAGATGGCGGGGAGGATGGCTGGGGGGGCCACCAAGCCCCTTTGCTGCAGGGCCACCAATGCCCTTGGGGCCACCAACATGCTGGGGGATGCTGGCCTGCGTGTCCATGTACAAGTTCACGGTGAGTGCTGCCCTGCCATGGGGCTTGGCTGGCAGCAAATGCTGGCTCCATCCTTGTTTGTTCAGGGATGTGCAGTATTATGGGGTATCCTAAGGTGATGGGAAAGGGGGTTGGATGGTGCCCAGCCCCAGTGCTGTTCTGGGCTGATGTTCTCCATCTGCTAAGCCCCGTCTCTGGCTTTCATTGGTGCTGCCACAGTGGCCCCGGAGATCGAGCCAGGCCCTGAGGAGGTGAAGGTGCTGCTGAATGGCTCGGTGGTGCTGCCGTGCCAGGCACAAGGGTGGCCTGTGCCCCGCGTGACGTGGCGGAAGGATGGCCGGCTTCTGCCTCTCCGTGGGACCAACAGGTACAAGGCTCTACAGGCTGGCGGCACCAAGAGCCACCCCCCACATCAATAGCTGTTTTGGTGTGTCTGGAGCAGAGTTAGCACTGTCACGTCTTGAAAAGTTGTGCTCTGTCCCCACACCAGCTCAGTGGACAGTCACATCTGGCTGCAATGGCACTTACCATCTTCTCAGCCGTGTGTCCCACCATGGGGCTCCCTTGATCTCCCTCCCCAGGCTGCAGCTCCTGCTCAGTGGGTCCCTGCAAATCGACCCCATTCAGGTCCAAGATTCAGGCCATTACCTCTGCATGGCATCCAGCCCAGCCGGTTCTGACCGACGAAGCCTGGACCTCCATGTCCTGGGTAAGCAAGAGAGCCAGACAGATCCCTCCTGGACTCACCTGCCTGCAACCCACTGCTGCTGGGCTGCTCTCACTGGTGCAATGACATGCTGCTGTCCTCTGCTTATTGCCACCATGTCCTTTCGCAGTCCCTCCCACCATCGCCTCCAGGCTCTCCAACCTCACCCTGCTGGCCCAGCACCCGGCCACGCTGGGCTGTGATGCCTGGGGATCCCCTGAGCCCCATGTCAGGTGGGAGAAGGATGGGCATCCCCTGAACCCGCACCTCCCGCCCAGCGCCTACAGGTACCCGCAGCACTGGCCACTGAAGGGTCCAGTCATAGGGTGGAGTCTGGGACAGGGGCTGACCCTGATGTGTCCTCTGCCCATGCAGTTTGCAGTCCTCGGGGTCACTGCTCATCGCCAGCCCTGGTCCCCGGGACGAGGGGCGGTTTGAGTGCATCGCCACCAACGCTGCTGGAGAGGCACGCAAGGTTTTCCTTGTGTCTGTCCATGGTGAGCTCCTGGGGGCTGTGGGTTTTGCTGAGAATGGCTTTCCTAGGGTTTGTCACCATCTTAGGTGTGATATGTGTCCCCTCTCAAGAACTGGGCATGGGGATGGGATCCCCTTCAGCATTTGCCACACATCCATGCTCACCTCCCTTCCCTATCCAGTGCCCCCCACCATTGCCGATGACCTTACAGATGTGGCTGTCACCCGGCTGTCCCCTGCGGTCCTCACCTGCTATGCCTCTGGTGTGCCCCCACCCACGGTATCATGGAGCAAGGAGGGGGCTCAGCTGGGCAGCCGAGGAGGCGGGTACCGCGTCCTGCCCACAGGTATGGGGATGGGGCAGTGCAGTCCTGGCAGGTGTGGGGGTCGCTGCCTGTCCTCCCCCTGCTTCCCCTCTGCCTGCTGTCTCTCCAGGGGCCCTGGAGATCAGGCAGGCATTGCCTGCACATGCCGGCCGCTACACCTGCACAGCGAGGAGTGCTGCTGGCACAGCCCGAAAACACCTCCGGCTCACAGTGCACGGTATGCATGGCTCTGGGGGGTCCTGCTTTGGGGGAGTCCCACTCCTGGGGGTCCCGCTCCCTTTTCCTTGGGAGGGCCCCGGTGGGCAGTGCTTCCCTGCTGCTCGCAGAGCCCCCTGCCTTGAAGACCCTGCCTGGCATGGTGATGGTGATGGTCAACACCAGCGCGGTGCTGTCCTGCGAGGCGACCGGCATCCCCCGGCCCGAGATCAGCTGGCAGAAGGACGGTGTCAGTGTCGTTGGAGGTGAGTGGAAGCCAGCTGGGGACTGGCATAGCCCACACAGCCTGCAAGCCTCTGCCTGGGAGGAGATCTGGGGACCTGGGAGTTGTAAATGTCCCAGTAAGGTGCTGGGTGGCACTGTGCATGGGTCCTTCTGGCTCCTGACTGCTATCCAAGGTGGGTGCGGTGGCTGCTTGAGCTGCTACCCAGAGAGTCCCAAGAAAGGGGCAGTGCTACAGGGGAAGTAGTCCCAGTACCCCATCCATCCATGCCCCATCCTGGCTGTGCTGCCCCATCCTGCCCTTCATTTCTGCCCAATCCCGCAGGGCCCAGGTTGAAGGTGCTTCCCAATGGGCAGCTGCATCTCCTTCGGGCCTCCCTGGTGGATGCGGGCACCTACCTGTGCGTGGCTCACAACCCCTCGGGCACCGCTGCGGGGAGGACCAGGCTGATCGTGCAAGGTAAGGCAGCAACCGCAGCCCCAGCACTCGGCTCCTTCCCCAGCACCTTGTGGTGAAATGCAGCTGTCAAGGTGTGAGCAAACCCAAACCCTTGCCCTCCTGCCCCATCCAGTGCCCCCTGTCATCGTGGCCAGCCCGGTGGAGCTGGCTGTCCTGGAGGGGCTGGAGGTGCTGCTGCCCTGCACCGCCCGTGGTGTCCCCGAGCCTCGCGTGTCCTGGAGCCGGGAGGGAGCCCTGGTGTGGGGTGGTGGGGGGAAGGCCACCATCCTGCCCTCCGGGGACCTGCTGCTCCGGGATGTCCAGGTGAGGTCTATCCCCTCCTGCAGCTGTACTGGCTGTAATGGTGGAGAACTGGAAAACCAGGGTCTCTTGCTGCTGAAAAGCAAGGCCAGGTTGATGTGTGCCCTGGGCTGGGGCTGGCAGGATGAAGTGTCACTTAGTCAAGCCATGTCCTGTATTCAAGTATTTGGCAGAGGAAGAGCTCTGTTCAGTCCTTCACAATGGGGCTGACAGCTTAGGATAGCGTTGGTTTGTTCATATGGGCTGGAAAAAGTGGCTGTGGTCAAGCCATGGCTTTCTGGGTGCACAACAGCCAGCAGAGACGCAGCCCAGACCCCAGACACAAGCTGACCCCTCTCATCCTCCCTTTTGCCCCTGCAGGAAGGGGATGCCGGGAGCTATTCCTGCACTGCTGTGAATTCGGCTGGGAGAGCTGTCCACCGGCTCTTCCTCTCCGTTCTCACCCTGCCCACCTTCACCCACCAGCCCACAGACATTGCCTTGAGCCGGGGTGAGAGGCTGGAGCTGGTGTGTGCTGCCATGGGCAACCCCCAGCCCCGCATCTCCTGGACAGCCAACGGGGAGCCTGTCACTGGTGCGTAAGCAGAGGATGCTGAGCTTGGGGAAGGATGTGATCCTGGCTCCATCCCTATCCTTTTCTCACTTTCTGGGTTTCCCGGGGTGCCAGTACGGCTGACTGTGTGGGGTTATAACCCACTGGTCCCTGTCTGTGCTTTTTTGGGGGGTTGCACCCTGCAGATGGCGTGCTGGGGCAGAGCAGCCAGAGCACCCTGCGGCGAGCGGC